ATCTTGTGTTTAAGTCTTTAATCCATCTGGAGTTACTTTTAGTGTAAGGTATCAGGAAGGGGTCCAGTTTCTGCTTTCTGCACATGGCTAGCCAGTTTTCCCACCATTTATTAAACAGGGATTCCTTTCCCCATTGCTTGTTTTTGTGAGGTTTGTCAAAGATCAAGATGGTTGTAGATGTGTGGTGATGCCTCCAAGGCCTCTGTTCTTTCCCATTGGTCTATATCTCTGTTTTTGTACGAGTACCATGCTATTTTGATTACTGTAGCCTTGTAGTATAGTTTGAAGTCAGGTAACATGATGCCTCTGGTTTTGTTCTTTTTGCTTAGAATTGACTTGGCTATGTGGGCTCTTTTTGGTTCCATATGAAGTTTAAGATGTTTTTTTCCAGTCTGTGAAGAGGGTCATAAGTAAACTCCAGAGCTTCTGCAAAGCAAAAAAACAATTATTAGAGTGAACTGGCAACTAACAGAATGAGAAAACATTTTTGCAATCTACCCATCTAACAAACGGCTAATATCCAGAATCTACAAAGAACTAAAACAGATTTACAAGAAAAAAACAAGCAAACCCATTCAAAAGTGGGTGAAGGATATGAACAGACAGTTTTCAAAAGAAGACATATATGAGGCCAACAAACATATGAAAAAATGCTCATCATCATTGGTCATTAGAGAAATGCAAATCAAAACCACATTGAGTTACCATCTCACGCCAGTTAGAATGGCAATCATTAAAAAATATGGAGACAACAGACGCTGGAGAGGATGTGGAGAAGTAGGAACACTTTTACACTGTTGGTGTGAGTGTAAACTAGTTCAACCATTGTGGAAGACAGTGTGGCACTTCCTCAAGGACCTAGAAATAGAAATTCCATTTGACCCAGCAATCCCATTACTGAGTATATATCCAAAGGATTATAAATCGTTCCATCACAAAGACACATGCACACGTATGTTCATTGCGGCACTGTTTACAATAGCAAAGACCTGGAACCAACCCAAATGCCCATCAGTGATAGGCTGGACAGGGAAAATATGGCACATACACACCATGGAATACTATGCAGCTGTTAAAACCATGAGTTTGTGTCCTTTGTAGGGACATGGGTGAACCTGGAAACCATCATTCTCAGCAAACTGACACAAGAACAGAAAATCAAACACCGCATGTTCTCACTCATTGATGGGTGTTGAACAATGAGAACTCATGGACACAGGGAGGGGAGCATCCCACACTGGGGTCTGTTGGGGGGAGACTAAGGAAGGGACTGCAGGGGAGTAGGGAGTTGGGGAGGGATAACATGGGAAGAAATGCCAGATATAGGTGATGGGGATGGAGGCAGCAAACCAAATTGCCATGTATGTACCTATGCAACAGTCCTTCATGTTCTTCACATGTACCCCAGAACCTAAAGTGCAATAAAATATATTTTTTTAAAAAATCAGAGCTGGATCCCTTTCTCTGTCTCTTCTCTCCTGCACCATTAAGAACACAGCAATGGAACAGTTTTTTGATTGAGACATGATAGAGATGTTTGGTATATTTGTCATTGTTTAGCAAATATTCTGTTTTTCCTTCCCTTCCATGCAAAGAGTACATTCTTGTTGGTTTTGCCTTATGGCTTGCTTTTGCTGTGAGGTGTGAGAAAAGGTAATGTTTACTATGTGCTTGCATGATTGTGCTCCTATTCTTTTATGAGAACAGCATGCTCCCTTCTGCCTAGGACTCAGAATGACAGACACGTGGAGCTGATTTGAGAGACATCATAAGCCAGTTCATAGATTATGTTTGTCTTTTAGAGCCACTGAGATTTGTGGAGTTGTTTGTTACATGTCATCTTCTAATCAAAACTTGACTAAATTAAATCATTCATCTAAGTAAAAGAAAATTAGGCAGATTCGGTGATTTTTTTTGCTCAGTATTTTAGGGGAAAGAACCAACTTAGCCCTGATAGCCTTCTTGCATTTTAATAAATTTAGTATGTTATTTTAAAGTAGCACATTTTCTTTCTACTTTATGCAGAAATCACATTTCTTGTATTAGGTTTATCAGCATCCATTGTTTCTTCCTATATGGCTCTAGAGTCATTTTATCTGCTTTTCAGGCTTTTGCAGATTTCGACCATGTGAAATGTGCATATGTCTGTGATTCTTTTGAAAATGATTTTCACCTCCATTTGAAACATGTTATATTAGTCATGGCCTCTCCTTTTTCTTTTTCCTTGTTGTTAAATGAATATTGTGAATCCATGGCAAAACCTTTGAATCTTACCTAAATCTTACCTAAAAACTTGTGAATCTTACCTAAGTACAGTATAAATGGCAGACTAAGAGTTTAACTGTTGTTCATTTTTGCATGCAAATCATTAGCCCATTTATTTATGCTTGCATTCATTCATTTAGTGCCTGCCACGTGCCAGATACAGTCCCAAATGCCTACAGTATTAATAATAATAAAGTATTAACTCTGTCTCTAAAATATTTTGTAATCTTCTGGAGGTCAGACACAAATACAAGTAAATTTCAGTAAGAGAAATGTATGAGGTATTATGGCACCACATAGGAGTAGGAAGAACTACCTCATATTGGTTGTGGCAGGGAATGGGGGGTGTACAGGGGTAAAAGTAGGGAATGGAGTTTGAGAAGGAGAAAACCAGATCTTCATTTAAGAAAGTTTATTTATTAAAATTTATTTATTAAAGGTTATTAAAATGCAGGGTAGGGAAGAGATGGGAAAGATCAAAATTAAAAGCATGAGATGAGGAAATGTTGGTATTCTTATTATCTAAAGATAACAGATATTTCATTTTATGTATAGTATTCTGTCATTTTAAAATTTATTTTAGAATTGATCTAATCAGTTTTTCCAAATGGAAGAGAGAGATGGAGACTAGATCACATCATTAATTAAAACTGCAAAGTAATTTTATTATAATTAAGAAATTAGAAATACATTAGGGAAATTTTTAAATATTTTATATTTATCAGTAATAGCTTTTTGCATTTACTGCAAATATATAAATATATATATATATATATATATCTGCTCTTTACAAAAATAGCATACTATTTGTTGTTTGCAACTGTAAAAGCAAATTCATTTTGATATAAGATAATTCAAGTTGGATACTGCTTAAATATGGTATCCTTTATGTGTAAAATGGAAATTTAGAAAACACAGTGATGTATTGGAAGGAAGAATTACCCGAGGTAACATCATATAATAGTATGAAAATACCTACACACTTGACAGTTTGCTTTCAACTGAATTTAAAAAGCAAATACCAAAAGTACTGAGAAATCTAACTGCCCTAGCAGTTTCTGCCCTAGCAATACTAACAATATTCTGTGAAAATGAATTAGACCTTAGTTTTTTATGACAAACTTCTTTTTGTAATATTACTCCAATCTCATTTTGTTTAAAGTAGAAAAGTATATTTTTATTAAATACTACTTAACCTTAAAATTGATTCTGTGAAAACATGTAGCACTGATTAATGTAAAATACATTTTTTTTAATTAGGTAATTGAAAATAGAGGAGCTTCATATCACAATAGAAGTCTAGTTTCAGCCAGGTCTGGTGGCTCATGCCTGTAATCTCAGCACTTTGGGAGGTTGAGGCAGACAGATCATGAGGTCAAGAGATTGAGACCATCCTGGCCAACATGGTGAAACCCCGTCTACTAAAAATACAAAAATTAGCTGGACGTGATGATGTGCACCTGGAATCCCACCTACTCAGAATGCTGAGGCAGGAGAATCACTTGAACCCAGGAGGTGGAGGTACAGTGAGCCGAGATCATGCCACTGCACTCCAGCCAGGTGATGGAGCAAGACTCCGTCTCAAAAACAAACAAAAGAAGTCTCTGGTTTCATAAATACCTCATACAGCCAAAACCTGAAATTAAAACAGTATCAATAAATTTATTTAGACTGCCATAAAGATTTTTAATTAATGTTGGTAAGTCTGTAAAACTGGGAATAAAGGTGAACATCCTCGTTCTTTGTTTTATTAATCTGTAATAGATTGTCACAAGAGAAGTATCTTCTGTATTTTTTAACTTACTAGTTAGAAGTGGCATACAGAAAGGCTTTACTTGCCATAATTAGTTTGTCTTCATTTATGTATAGCCATCCTTAAGTTAAAAGATTTTAGTCTGTGCACAGTATTTTAAAAGTATTTGTAGGTACTGCTGTCTATATATCGACATATATATATAATGTATCTATGTATATATGTGTGTGTATATATATACGTCTAAGGGATATCTAAACCATAACAATAACCTAGGCATTATGAAAATTATTGCCCTTTATAACACTAGTAGATATTTTATGATTTTATGATAAATTATTTAATAGAATTAAATGTAGATTATTTTATAAAATGTTGTTTTAATGATATGGAAGAATTTATCATGTAAAGAAATTTTCTAATGACTTTATTTAAATTTAAGCTTAATGGTCACATACCTGAAAAGAATCGAGATAGTTCTGGACCATGTTTTTTTTGGTCTTTTTCCTAAAAGAAACATATTTCTGAATATAGAGTATTTCCTATATATCTTATGTAGGTTATTTAAATATTTAAGATACATATTTTTATACGGAGTAAACATAAAAAGAAGCATTGCACAGTGGTTAAGCATTTGAACTCACAATTCAGATTATCAGTATTACCTCCAGCAAACTGGGTGACCCTGAGCAACTTACTAAACCTGTCTTAAGATTCTGCCTATCTTTGATTACCTCACTAAGAAAACAGAAATACCTTAGGGAGTTGTGAAGATTAACCAAGATAATAAGTATAAGATGTTTAGCATGTTATTTAGCAGTAAATTTTATTAGTAAAAATTATTTCGTAGTTTCTGTATTCAATAAATATTCATCTTAAATTAAGGTGATTATATCAGTTACTTTATTAAATATATGAAATATACTTCTATTTTTACATTTTAGATAATTTATCCCCTAATTGATTCTTTTGTTTGTTCTAGGTTACTTTTCACATAGAACCATACAGCGATCGAGATGATCAAAACATGTACAATAATGTCAAGTATATTATAGACAAGTGAGTTTCTTCAATATTTATAAATATTGTTTTGTTATCCAGTGACAATTATTGTTTTAAGAATAGTGCATTAAATTATATTTGAGATTTGAATGTTTATGATCTGTCATTTTTAATAAAATTAAATTGTTAGTGAATAAATGTCACTATCATTTCAAGGAACATTGCTAAAGTTCCTTGCAATTCACTTTCTTTTTGAAAGATTGCTATTTTCACTATTTTACAGGTTTATAGGCTATGTATGATTTCTGTAATTTTGTTATTCTAAGTTGACATTATTTTCTAAACCATAGGAATATAGGGCTTTATCTTGTTTGAAAAAAGGTTCCGATTATTAAAAGTAAACTGCTGCTTTTATTGCAGTGACCTAGAGCTGATATTTTCATTTATATCTAGTCTGATCAAAAGGAAATAATTTATTAATGCAGGTTTCATTTTTTGAAAAAAATTTACTGCTAATAGTCTGTGACAGATGCCATAGTCTTATAAAGAAACTTGTCAGCAACAGTAAAACATTACTGATACATAAAAAGGCAATTTATGTATTAATGTAGAAAATAATAGGCTTTTTACTGCATGAGTCATTATTTCTAAACTTCAGTATGTGATAATCACTTGTTTGATAATGCATCCAGTATCTCATTTTCTAATGTGTAAAATTAAAAATACATTTTTAATTATTACACTTACATAACTGATTCCCCCAAGAAATGGAGCAATGTGCTCAAACTGTACTGATTCCTTCATTTTCAGTACATAAACAGTATTTATATGTGGCAAATTAGTTGCGAATATTCATTTCACTTTTATATATGCTTATATTCTAGATATGGAAATCATCCGGCCTTTTACAGGTACAAGACGAGGACTGGCAATGCTCTTCCTATGTTCTATATCTATGATTCCTATATCACCAAGCCTGAAAAATGGGCCAATCTGTTAACCACCTCAGGGTCTCAGAGTATTCGCAATTCTCCTTATGATGGATTGTTTATTGCACTTCTAGTAGAAGAAAAACATAAGCATGATATTCTTCAAAGTGGTTTCGATGGAATTTACACATATTTTGCCACAAATGGTTTCACTTATGGCTCATCACATCAAAATTGGGCTAGCCTAAAATTATTTTGTGATAAATACAACTTGATATTTATCCCAAGTGTAGGCCCAGGATACATAGATACCAGCATCCGTCCATGGAACACGCAAAACACTCGGAACCGAATCAATGGGAAGTATTATGAAATTGCTCTGAATGCAGCACTTCAGGCACGCCCCAGTTTAATTTCTATCACCTCTTTTAATGAGTGGCATGAAGGAACTCAGATTGAAAAAGCTGTTCCCAAAAGAACCAGTAATACAGTGTACCTAGATTACCGTCCTCATAAACCGGGTCTTTACCTAGAACTGACTCGCAAGTGGTCTGAAAAATACAGTAAGGAAAGAGTAACTTATGCATTAGATCACCAGCTACCTGTTTCATAATGCATTGATTAAAGTTTAATAGTTATCAGGATCACCTAATTTTTAAAAGTAGCTTTTGTTTTGAGTTATGGAAAGAAAACTCAAAATCAGTATACATTATTATCTTTAAAAAATATTTTTTAAATTCTTTACAGATAATATTGCCAGCCTTCACAATACCACATTGAGAAAATGTCTGAGACAAAATTTGTGCAAATTATTCCTTATGGCATAATTTACTGCATTTCTGACTGAAATCAAAATTCTGATTTAATGACAATTGAATTTTTATTTTACAATGAATAAATGCTTGTGTTACCCAAAGCACTTAGCACAAGTTAAATTATATTTATATCCTAGTCCCAAAGAAATAGGATTGTGTGTATATTTGGGATATCTATTAAAGAAAAAAAAAAACCCTGAAAGATAATGTACATGTTTTATTTGGTATTTTTAAAATAATTTAATCAACTTTTACTGTGTTAGTATTCAGATTCTGGATAACTCTTTAGTAATGATGATATTCATAAGAATAACAAAATCATTGTAAGTTCTTTTCAGTTTTGCTGTGAACCTGAAACGGCTTTAAATTAATAGTTTTTTTAAATTTAATTATATAAATTAAGCCTTACTACGATCAAATTGTATTAGGAAGGCCTGCTATCTACAACACAATGATTCACTTGCAGATTTGTGGTTACCCATAGCTTGCTAGGTTTTTGGCATGTTTAGTGTTTCTGCTTTACAGTGCTAGATTCTGTATTTTAGAAGCTTTGGAAAGTCCCTTTATGAAACCTAATGATTGCTTGTCAGTTATTAGGTAAACAATTGTGTCACAATTACTATGTAGATATGATGCCCAAAATGTCATTTTTAGTATATCTTGTCCATTTTTAAGTTGTTACCATTCTATTATTCATGTCTTTAAATCAGAGACCAAATATTTTCTAGGAAATAAAAATGTTATTACTGTCATTAGATTGTCTTTTGATATTTTAAGTTATTTTGACCAAAAGTAATAGGGAAAATTTACTTAGTATTTTAGATTTTAGAGACATGGAAATGAAAATTATTTTATATCTAGGGTAAGTCCTGAAGTTGGGCTTTACATTAAGTTTAACACTGTATAATAATGAAGAAACTAATATTTTACTTAAAAGCTAATACTTTCAAATTTTTATGTAGTAATATCCCCATTTTATAGATGTTAAGACTTTTATACCTATAGGTTAAAATACTTGTGATCAGTAACTTGTCACATTATGACAAGTTGATCACTTGTGTACTAAAGATAAATATCTTTAAAAACTAAATAAAATGCACTCTATTCTTACAATTAATGTTTATAACTATAGTAAAAAAAGTAATGTATATTGTGTTACATAAATGTTATTTCTTAGGTGTTAAGAGGAGCAATAGGATAATGCTAAAAACTAATGCCTATAAATCTTCAGAGTATTAAGTCATCCATTCAGAAACATAAATTAGCACTAAATTTATTATAAAATAACTCATCAGAAGACAAAATTTTATTTTTAAACAGCAGTTTTGAAATAAATTATGTTATTGAAGAGAGGCAATTTAATGTTAAATTTGTTTATAATTTATGAATTTGTCATTTATCAGAGAATGACCAGGCATTAGGAAATTAATACAGCAGTAGTAATCATTATTTTCTAGGGGAAAATAAAATAATAAATCACTATACTGATATTTTGATATAACCAAGCACCTATATAGTAATAACTATATAGATGTAACCTGTGGATTTTTTCTTATATCCATTTAACTAGAATATATTATTTTAGGGATAATTTATAAGTGTCATACCTAATACTCTTTTATAATATACCATATTTCATTAAAGTTTTGTTAGCGAAGTATCTACCACAGAGAAATTTTTGTCATTGTTTATGTTGTGTATTTGAACCCACCACGACAGAAAATAAATTTTTGGAAATAGTTGTGAGATTAAGGGAAAGTCTATAAAAACAAGGTCAGCAAATTCTCAACACGGATACCACCACTTTTTGTCTTGTTCCCATTATAGACATGGCGAATCCACACAACATGCTTCACCTCTAAGCTTTGTTGTGATTCCTCAACACATTACCTTAACCAGCCAGCAGTAACAGATTTCAAAGTAATCTAAAGCAGATCCTGTCTTCATTGCAAAAAGTTATTCTCAGTGGAAGAATGGCATCTCATCTCATAATTACTTACCAGTTTATATTAATATATGTTTTTTCTCCATTTTTAATAAAATAATTACAGTCATCCCTCAGTGTCTATGGAGGATTGGATTCCAATTACCCCTATAGATACCAAAGTCTGCAGTTGCTCAAATCCCTGATACAAACTGGTATAGTAGTTGCATATAACCTATGCACATCCTCCTGTGTACATTAAATCATCTCTGGAGTACTTACAACACTTAATACGATATAAATGCTATGTAAATAATTGTTATACTATATTGGTTAGTGAACAATGACACGAAGAAAAGGTCTGTATATTTTCAGTGCAGACATTGTTTTTTGTTTTTTGTTTTTTTTTTTTTTTTTTTTTTTTTTTTTTTTTTTTTTTTTTTTTTTTCAAATATTTTCAGTAGGCAATTTCTTGGCCATGGATGTAGAACCCACAAATATGGTGAGCCAACTGCATTAGGAATTATCTCTAATAATTCTGTTAATTCTTAGAGAGGAAAGCTTTTAAAATCTTCCTTAAGTATTCATTATCTCTGCCTTTACCTTTTTATTTGTAACAGTTTAAATTGCTATGATCACAAGTAAATAAGAGCAAAGAATTTATTGAATTCAAAAAAACTATGTGTTTGAATTCAGTATAGTAAAATAACTGTTAAAACACAAACTGGTGTAGTTATACAATGCATGAATCATAATGGATTCTTTTATAGGTTATTAATTTTTATGGTTTAATCAGTCTAATTATTTTGACTGTATAGAAACCAAATATTTTACCGTTTCTTTTAAGGACTAATGTTGTCAAAAACTGCTGTTATTAATGTTTACTTGAGTTGTTTAACTTTTTTTCTGTTTGATTTTAAGACTAATTAAAAATTACTATTTTGTTATATGGAATGGTTAAATTTTACCTAATAAAAACATATATGAAATACATTGTATTTTAGATGTTAAAGTCTATCATTTCTCTTTATGAAATGTCTTATTTGATTTCCAATTAACAAATGAGAAGGAGTACCCAGTCATCATTCTTTATATGTATTTTCTTTTTAGATATGCAGCACTTACAAAGTGGTATCTTTAACTGTATATACTTTTTAAATCTATAAAGTTGTGTTAAACATACACACATAACATGCACACATAATTTTTTTTTAATTTGGGAGCCGTTTTTCTATTTTTTTTTTCTTCTTTGGGTATAATCATATATTAGCTCTGACATCCATTAGGAAATTAATCTTCTCCTAAACCAGCAAAGTAACAAACCAGTAGAGAACCTACCAAGTTCATGCACTTTTTCAAACTGGCCACAGTTAGCCAATTTAAACATGGCTGCTGCTAAACTCTACATTGCTTACAGAAACAGTCTTTAAAAATCTATGTTTAAATTTTGAATTACACTTTTACATCCCATAGTGAAGAAAAGCAAAATTTCAGTTATTTTTGCAAATGTTTATAATTTCTAAATGAAAGCTTGATGAACCACAAGCAAAAAGGCTTTATGGCTCAAAGCATTACATTTTAAATATTAAAATAATAAAATTTAAAAATTATACTAAAAATGTTTGTCTTTTCAAAAAGTGTACTCCAAATTAAATGTTATACTATGTTGTTTTATATCCACATAAACGCTAAACGTTATTATGGGATTGTTGCCAGATTATTATCCTTGAGAATTTAGGTACTATTTTGGCTTAATTACCTTGTAGAGACTCATACATCCTTAGTCAAATCAAAGAACTTATTAGTAGCAATATTATATTCCAACTATCAATTAGGGGAGGAACATTTTTCAAAGTTGATAGCCTTTTTTAGTTGTTATATAATTACTACTTATCAAAGGATAAGGACTAATGAACAAAAATAGTCAAATATCCAAAATTTGTTGAAATTAAAACAGTGGCACTTTTATATTGGATGTTCTATATTTCATTTAAAAGGTAGTGAATTTTAGGCTTCTCAGATTACATGAAATTACCAATAAATTTAACCATAAAGTCAAAAAGATCTTTAGAAGCCAAACCCATATCAATATGAAAGAAAAGAATGATGCTCTATGTAGTAAGATAAAACTGCTTGCAATTCAACTTATGGTATATGATTGTATTACATGCTTTTGTGTATTTGTTTTTTGAAAAGAATAGGTTAAAAATCTGAACAAAGTTTATTGTAAGCAGCACAGTGAAAATCATGAGTTACTCATTATATTTAAAATAGTTGATTACAATTATGTTCTTGTATAAAAGTGCTTTTGAGTAAGTTTTACCAAAAGCCATTATCAAAACACTTTATTGTTGTGTTAATTTGATGAGTCTAATGTAATACAAATTTTGCCCTGAAATTGCCTTGAAAATAACAAATGAAAAAAAAAAAAAAGAAAAAGAAATCTGTTTGGAAGAAATTCAGCTGAAATGCATGTAGTAAGCTTTAGAAATTTTTATGTTTGGACACAGTCACTTAAAAGAGTAGCATGTAACAATTTTTTTTAAAAAAGAGTGTATTAGGCAAGATATTTACTTTTTCCACTCTGTTAAAATACTATGCATCTCTTAGGGATTAGAAAATATATTAATTAAACCCTTAATCTTGTAGAACTGAAACATTAAGAAAATACCAATTATAGATAGATAGATAAATAGATAGAATTAAATAGTTTGTACGTACATTAAAAAGTGTTTCCAGAGAAAGCCTCTTGAAATATTACTCTTTTTGTTGAAAAATGAATTGTTTTTTAAGGTCAGAAAACAAATGGGAACACAATTTCAAGAAGTGGCAGTATGGTCCATTTATTTGTATATACATGAAAACAGTATAAAGGATAAAAAATGCTATTTAAGTTATTTCTATCTTGGGAGATACAGAAAATAAAAATTTCATTAACCAGAGAAAAGAACCATTAAATGTTGAAATTAGAAACTGAACAAATAACATATTTATTAACAAGTACTCTGATATTAAGAATGCATCTGCCATAACAAAATAATAAGGGAATATTCCTCATGCAGCTGGTATAGCATGAAGCCAAAATAAAATCATAGAGCCATGTCATTTATTCACACAGATAGCAAAATTCTAGTATGAGCAAACCAAATACCACCATGTAAAGAAAGCCTGCCATGATCCAGTCAATGTCAATCCTAGATTTAAAGGAGTGCTTTAACATTAGAAAAGCCATTAATTACATTAACAACAGACTAAAGGTAAAGTGTTGTGGTGAAGAATTGATAAAATTCTGTATTTGTTCATGTTAACTTGGCAAATTAGAAACAGAGGAACATTTTTAATCTGAAAAAGGATATCTACCAAAAACTCTACCGGCAAGTATTATAATTAGTGGTAAACCTTGCAATTTTTCTCTTTGAGACAGGGAACCAAGCAAGACTGCCCATTATGAATGCTACCTAACATTGTATTGGAGGTCCTAGCCACTGCAGTAAAGCAGGAATGAATTAGTGAATGAAATAATTTTTATCTATGAAATTCAAAATGTACAAATAGAGTAGTTAGCAAGTGTTACGTACAATCTTATAGAGAAATCAGTTATAAAACCTCACAAAGTTCCCTTATGAAGTTTAAAATCAAAAGGAAGTTTAGATCAAAAATATTTTTTGCATATACTAAATTTATATTTATTGAAAGCTGCTATTCTGTATATTATTTTTAATTACCCAGACTTAAATATTAGCCACATGGCAGAATATTCAGTCATTAATATTAAAATAAAACAGTCTAATCTCTGATTTTATGTAAAAAATTAACTGCAATTATGATTGTTTGGTAAATTCTTTAAAATTTGCTTTGCTGTAATATTTAAAGTACATTATTAAAAATTGCTCTTGGTATCTTATAAGAAAAATAGTGACAATCATATGAACAGTACCTAAGCTCAAATTCTATTTTTTTTACATATTAGTATTATGTGTAAAATAATGCAACACTGGTAATACAACACTATTTTCTCATTTTTTTCCTTGATTTATTCTTAAGAGTTTACATAAAGTTTCCTTGTTATTAGAATATATGCACTGTCTTTGCAAAAAGCATTTGAAGTATTTTTCTACAAAAAGTAAATATTACAAAATTAATAAATAATGATGGATGAATTTTTTTTTAAGAGAATGTCTATATATAGTACTGGTGGTATATATGGTTGAGTACGTGTTTGTAGTTGAGCTTCCTGATAGGTAGTGCAAGAGGCTCTATGGCTGTTCTTGCCAAAAAAGAAGCACCTCCTTTTCCATTGGAGGCAAACTTTACCTTTTCAGTACATTTTAACATAAATTTCTCAAGTATAAATTATACCTAGGGTCAAAAATGCAAATAGCTATGGGAACCTGCCAGAAAAGCAAGTGAATTCATCAGGTTTAAGACCTTAGATAGTCCCAGGGACTGTGGACAACTCTCACCTAAAAGGAGTGCTTAGCATCTCCTGTCAACATTGCCCTTTGTTGCTATGGGTCCCTAAAATGAGGAAGTATATCTTCCTGTTTGTCTCTGTAAATTTTTCTGATTATAATATGGTCAAATGTTATAAAATATTTTTAAATGTTCGTCAAATATTATAAAATATTTTTAAATGTTCACTGGTGGATCAGCTAATGGATCACTAATAAGTCACTAATTTGTGACCTGTGATACAAAGAATGTAAAACTTATGAAAAATGGCCTCAACATTTAGTGACATTGATAAGGGAATTTCTTATGATGAGTCATTGTATGGTGTCTTTAATAAATTCTAAGCATATAACAATAAAAGACAAGTCAGTGAAAGTGAATCCATGAGGGGCTCTGTTTTGGGGATAGTTTTATTCAGCTGTTGTCTGATGCAAAATCATAGATTAAAGCATCTAAAGAAGTGAGCTAAATGAATATCTCCGACCTAATCTTTTCTATTATTCTTTCTAAATTGGCTTTTAAGTAGCTGATTTGAATTAATTTATATTCACTGAGAAGGACCTGGAACGCATTTATTCTATGTTGCTTATTAGTTATGGATTCATTTTTTTATGCCTGCCAAGTGAATAGAAGAAAACTATTAGTATCTGGGTTTAGTTTCAGCCTCCACTTTTGCAATCTACTTTTTGCCCTTTTGCTGCCTGCTTTTGCCTCCCTGCCCACCATTCGACCTTTCTTTCTCATTCCCAGCTTACCTGCCTTTCTTTCTTATCTGCTTTGTTTCGGAAAGGATGTGATTTATTAACTGCATAGCATATGACAATATAGTTTCAGTCAAAAGTAGAGCAAGAATAGGAACATACCTATTGAGTCCACATTGAGCACAATATTAAATGAAAACAATATTATAACATGCATTGCTATACTGGTGGTCACAAATTTAAGACTTTGAAAGCCAGTATGGAAAAGGACATCTAGTCATCTACACAGTATGCAATGTTCATAGTATAAGATACAAATAAATTTCTCAAGGAAAGTATAACTGCCTTGGTATTAAAGGGGAATTCTAAGGGTTCTCATAAAGAAGATACTGTAAATATAGTGTACACTATCTTGATCAGCACATTTGGACAAAGCCAAATTTCATAAGATTATTTCCTATAAATATCTTTACAGTGTGTGATTACGATATCACACCAAAGCACAGTTCACTAAAAGTAATTATTTTGGAAAAGGTGTGTGTGTGCGTGTGTGTGTGTGTGTGTGCGTACGCGCGTGCACGCGCACGCATGCATACCTGTGAGACGCCCATGTACCTTCAAGCATTTTTTTCAATATTCATTGATGAAATATTTCTCGGATTTCTGCCAGACACTAGCTTCCTGCTTCCATGGTGCTGACAGTTTTTAACTGTTAAGGCACTTCGTTTTTGTACATGTAGATTTACATTTATTGATTCCTTGAGTCTAATTAGTTATTCCTTTCTCATAAATCAAAAAAAATAAGCAAAAATGTTTCCTAATGACTGATCTTCCCTGTTTCCATATCTTTAAAATCAAGTCATTGAACTGGATGCCTGCTGAGATTGCTATTTAATATTAACATCATTTTAAGGTTAATCATATCATTCTCATCAAAACTGGAAATAAAAAAAGTTTGCATTTCTCTAAAACAGCTATAAAACTGTTTGGAGGGAGGGAGTAAATTATATAAAATTACAAATCTTAAATTCACATTTGTCGGCCGGGTACAGTGACGCATGCCTGTAATCCCAGCACTTTGGGGGGCTGAGGAGGTGGATCACAAGGTCAGGACATCGAGATCATCCTGGCCAACATGGGGAAACCTTATCTCTGCTAAAAATACAAAAATTACCTGGGTATGGTGGTGCGTGCCTGTAATCTCAGCTACTTGGGAGGCTAAGGCTGGAGAATCGCTTGAAACCGGGAGGCAGAGATTGCAGTGAGCCGAGATGGAGCCCCTGCATTCCAGCCTGGCAGCAGAGCAAGACTCCATCTCAAAATAAGTAAATAAATAAATAATAAAATTCACATTTGTCATCCATCCTGGATTTTGTTACTTTAATCTTTGCCTTTCAGGTAACATTTCACTCACTTTCAAAAACTGCTTGGTGGTTTCTTTTAAAATTAAGCATATTTTTACCATGACCAACAATTTAGCTCCCACTAGAGTAGAATGTCTTCTCTTCGCTCCTCCTTGTCTGTTCTGTATATCAATAGATGACATTCTCATTCATGTCACATAACCAGAAACCTGGGGTCATTCTTTGCCTTATCACACTTTGTCATGCCCTAAATCCCATATAGCACTAAATATGACCTTCCTTTTTTCCCAAAAATATTTATTAAGTGTTACCCTATTCTCCATCTGCATTATCTCTGACCAAATCCAGGACATGATCATCATTCACCTGGCTTATTATAGTTAAACTTATTTGTTTTTATCTATGATATTGCTTAATTTAAATTAATATCCAGAGTAAGAGTCTAGGTAATTCTCTTGCTACAAATCTTTCAGTGATTTCACATTGCCTGCAGAATGACACACAAACTTCTTCAAAAGGTATATAAAATGTTACTATTCTATGTCCACAACCACGATCTCATCTCCTGGTGTCTGTTACATTAATATTTTACTTCAGCTAGATAAACAACACAACTTGTCATTTAATGACCTCATGAAGATCACTTTTGTGTGTGTGGTCTCTTTTCCATTGCTCCTCACTAGTTTACTCCTACTGGAAACAGGACAAGAGTGGGAGAGAAGGCAATAGAAGAAAGGAGATAAACGTTTGTAGTAAGCACCTAATGTGTGTCAAACACCTAATTAGGTGTTGTGTGGTTTATCTAATACAATACTCATTCAGCATTCTAAGTTTTGTTTGTTTTATGGTTTAGGAAAATATATGTTGTAACTTGCCAATGTCTCACATCTGAAAAGAGATGAATCTGGGCAAATTGTCCTTCTTCTATAACAAATTGTCCTTCTACTTCAGCTCATCCAGAAATATTTCCCTACACTCAACCCTCGCCCTACTCTCAGAGATGTTAGGCACCTCTATTCCAGCATTTACTACATTCTATTGAGATAAGCTTCATACCAGAGCACCTTCGTCTCTTCTACAAGCCCCCTGAGGGTCAGGCATATTTTTGGTTTCATTTTAAGAATATTAAATGTCATCAGTATAAAAGAAAACAGTGCTGTGATTTCAGTGTATGCCCCAATGCTCATGTGTTGGAAACAATCCCTAATTCCAAAGTGCTGAGAGGTGAATAGGTCAGGAGGGCTCTGCTTTCATCAATGGATTAAAGCCATTATCATGGGAGTGGGTTTATTATTGCAAGCGTGGATTTATTATAAAGGTGAGTTTGGCCTTTCTCTTTCTGTCCCTTTCTCGCTTTGCTGCCTTTCTGCCTTTCAGTACAGATGAGGGAGGCATCTGACGGCCCTTACCAGATGTGGTTCCTCGAGCTGGGAAATCCCAACTTCCAGAGCCTTAAAACTAATAAACTTCTTTTCTTTATAAATTACCCAGTGTATGGTATTCCCATCTTGGATCTCTGCCCCCCACACTTAAATGCAATTTTCCTCGGCTGCTCTAGTCATGGCTCAAGTGGTCCTGGGTGTAGCTCAACCTGCCACTCCAGAGGTACAAGCCATAAGCCATGGCAGATGTATAGAATGTAAGTGGTGGTGGCATGGCTTCCTCCACCTAGATTTCAAAGGATGTCTTGGACAGCCTGAGGGCCCAGGAAGGGACTTGTCACAAGAGTGGAAGCAGACCATCACAGAAAGCCCCTACCAGGGCACTGCTACGCAGAAGCATGAGGTTTTTCTCTGCCACCACAGAAAGTGATAATGCCATTTCCACTAGTTTATTCCTACTGGGAAGAGAACAAAAGTGAGAGAGAATGGCAATGCCTAGTGGAGCCCTGGGAGTAGGGTCATACCTAGGACCCAAGAACTATAGTGATACCAGCTTGCAGAAACAGCCTGGGAGAGCTGCAGGTAGGAGAATCCAACCTCTGTCTTTCCTCTGCCTTTATATTCCAATGTTTGACAAAAGTAGGTGCAAATTTAGTGCATGCTGAATTGGAAAAAAAAAAAAATCACATGAAGCTTTGCATATACAAAACAATGTGCTATATAGAAGTTTCTGTTCATGAATATTGCTTATCAATTGCAATTCTATTTTATTCAGCAAGAAGATTCCATGTGTTCCATGATTTGATAGTTATAGCCAAATAATACTATACTGGCATATATAATTTCCCTTTATTTTCTTTAAATAAAACATTAATAATAAAATTGTAGTTATACTTAGGGTTTTTTTTTAAACAAATGAGCTATTTTTACAAAGTCAATTTCAGAAAGGTAATATAAGAACAATCAAAAACATAAAATAAGAATTGCTTACATAAATAAAGCTACTGTGTTGATTTAATATATTAGTGGCTGAAATTCTGGAAGTGACCCATTTAAACCAACTTTCAATCAGTCATTTACTTTAAGAGTATAACGTTTGAGACACTCATAGCTTCCAACCTATTTGCTTAATCCCTGTGCTCTTTCCACTAAATGTTTTGCTAAAATTAACGTTGCTATTAAAACAGAACATGCACTAGATATTATTAAAAAGTAAATATTGACATGCTTTTCAGTCAGTATTACAATTTAGAAAACCATATGTTGAATATTAACCTCATTTATTCATTAATCATGATTCCTAATATACAAATAATTCTTTAAAAGGAGAGAAAAACCAATTCTTTCTGTTTAAGACCAAGTCCTAAAAACACTACCCAGAATATTTAGTAATTGACCTAAGTATGAGAATTGGGTTGGATAATCAATTATCCTAGGAAGCCACATGGAGAAGCTCTGCAAACTTTGAAGACATTGTTTAGAGTCAAAAATAGACTCATTCTTATACATATTTCATTCATTTCCCTGTTTCTTCAAACCATCAATACTTTCTCCTCTATCTTTACTTAGAATTGATAATTTTAACTGAGAAAATACAAGCAATTGAAGATAGCACCTAACAAGCCATCCTTTATATAATTACCTTCTTTTGAGTTTGAACAAAATCTGTAATTTACTTGTAACAGAATACAGCAAAGATAGATGCTTTTGAGGATGTAATTGAGAGCTTTAATCAGTTTACGTTTATCAACAGGTAGATATTGCTGGATGGGCTGACCTAGTCAGATGAGCCTTATAAAACAGATTTAGAGGTTAGAGACAGAAGAAATTAGAGGCACTCTCCTCTTGGCCTTTAAGAAGCAAGCCCCCATGAGTCTACAACTTCAAGGAAAGAAATTCTGCCCCTCCCCCCCACAAAAAAATGTCAGCTTGGAAGAGTACCCTGAGTTTACAGGAGTCCTCAGTGCTGGTGGACACCTTAATTGTAGCTGTGTGAGACCCTGAGCAGGCAGCCTAGTCATTCCTGAAATACTGACTCATAGAAACTGACATAATAAAATGTTGTTTCAAGCTACTAAATTTGTGATAATTTGTTACAGGGCCTTAGATACTTAATATGCAATCAAATAATATCTATATGTCTCTACCACCAAAGTACCCTCTTGCTTATGTCTGTTCTATGTTCTGCAGCCCTTCTTTTCACTGTGAATAAACTGTCTTTTCTTTATCAAAACCAATCTTTCTTTTGGTTCTAAATCCTATTTCCTCCTGTCTGCTCAAAGGCATCTCTATGACAATGGTCCTCTCTCACTCCTTACCTTATTAATTTACCCCTTCTCTTTTCTGGTAAATAGTTCACAAATAGAATCTGTTTTCTTCCAAATTCAAAAACCATGTGCCCTCTGGTATTCTTTCAAAGAAAATAACCCCAGTCTAGACATACGCAAAAAACATCTGACAAACCCAAATTGAGGGTCATGCTGCAAAATATCTGACCAGTAGTCCATAAAGCGCAGGATTATGAAACAAAGAAAGATAGAGAAACTATCATAGATTAGAGGAGATTAAAAAGATATAACAAGTAAATGAAATATATCCAAAACTGGATCCTGGAACAGTAAATGGACATTAGGGAAGAACTGCTGAAATCTGAATAAAGTATGAGGTAACCAATGTTAGTTTCTTAATATACCACGATTGACCCCACTTTCTTCAGGTCTTAATATTATTTTCCCAGCAAGGCTTTCTTTAACACTCTATTTTATTTAAGATTACACTCCTTATTTAATAAACATACACAGTGTGCTTACTTTTCTATGTTGAGGAAATAAAATGAACATAATTCTCCATTCCCAAGGAGTTCAGAGTTTTAAAGCAAAATAATAATTTTCTTGAAAGATATCTCGTTTTTGTTTTTTAATTGTTTGTTCTGCCAAGTTTTTTTTTTTTTTTAACACTTTCTGATGAAAAAAAATTCTCTCCTTTGCATTTGAGGAACCACTCTTCCTCACTCTATGTGGTCTCAGTGGGGTCATTAATCCCTGGACCTTTAGGTTGGTCATATGATATAAACTGGCAAATTATCTATTCACTTTCCTACAGTGACTGTCCAGGGCTAGGCATGTGAACCAAGCCCCAATGAACTTTAACAATGTAGGCTTGTAGCACTCAACAGTTAGATTTTTGTGCCACATGGAAAGCTTCTCTGAACAAAACCAATACAGAGGAAAGCAAAAGCAAGAGGTGGGCAAAGAGACAGCTTGATGACATATTTTGAACCTTCAAATTCTGCCTTGGATTATGTCTGCCTTTAGCTTCTCCATTCCTTTAGCTGATCATTTTTTCCTTTTTGATGAAGCTAATTTAAGTTGATTTTGTGTCATGAACTGGAAGAGTCCTTATTAATAAAATCTTATATAGTGTTATAAGTCTCAAAATAGAGGTAGATATGGTGGATGCATAAGGAAGAGTCAATACTTTTTGAAATGCCAAAGTAATACAGAGAAGTCACCCCTAAGTTTTAAAGTCTCAATAAGAATGTATGGACAAACATAGGAACAACCTTATTAAATTATTCCATTCTTACTGTGTGCCAGGCACTGTTTCAAGTATGTTACATACATCATGGAATACATCACATTACTTCTTACCAGTTTGTTAACTGAGGGAGAAAGCAGGTAAGTAAACTTGTCCAAATTTATACCTGAGAATTAAACTGTTATCCACTGAATTCCATAGGATGCCATTTTCAAGAAAACAAATTTTATAATTTGTAATTTTAAAATGTTTGTCGTTTTGTTCTGATAACTCATTAAACTGGTACACACAATCTTTATTATCAATTGGAATATCTTATAAGAGGAATAATTTGAATGGTCTGAAACCATCTAACTTTGGTTTAATTAAGGTGAAGAAAATGCTGAAGACCAAATGAGAAAATAGACATGTTGCATAGTTAAGAAGAGAAATATTACTGTCATTTAATGATCAGTTTGCTACATGTGTGCTTCTGATCCCCGACTGGAGCAGTTGTTGAAGAGCATGAACAATTGTGTACAATTCCTTATGAGAATCAAGCATTTCCTCTAGTGTGGCTGACATATTTAACTAGGTAATGCTGACAACACCTGCTTTGATGGGTTAGTGGGTATTGTTTCTAGGAGTGCAACTTAGTGAAGCAAAGAAGAAAAATTTTAAGAAACTTTAAGGCAATGTTTTTTATTAGTGCAGTAGTATGATCATGGCTCACTGCAGCTTTGAACTCTAGGGCTCAAGTTATCCTTCAGTCTCAACCTCCTGAGTAAAGTAGCTAGGATTAGGCATGTGCCACCACACCTGGATACTTTTTTAAAAATTTCTTTTTGTGGAGATGGGGGTCTCACTATGTTGCCTTAGCTGTTCTCAAACTCCTGAGTTCAAGTGATCCTCCTGCCCCAGCCTCCCAAAGTGCTTGGATTACAGGTGTGAGCCACCACACCCTGCCTTATTTTAACAGAATAGTATGCTAAATTCCTTAAGGAAAGTGGCAAATGTTTTCGAAGATGCATGAATATACCTATAAAAACCTGTCAGTTTTGAGAGAACTTCAGGTTTCTTTTATTTGCTCAAAAAAAAAAAAAATCTTGTAACATCTAACACCAGTTAATAAAGTTTTATTCTATGTGCTCTAGCTTCTTTAACTTTTTGTCCTATAAATATTCCTCTTACAAAATAGTCATTCATTTTATTCAAATACTAACTCATATAGCTTGGCTGTGTCCCCACCCAAATCTCATCTCGGATTGTAGCTCATGTAATCCCCATGTGTCATGGAAGGGTCTAGTGGGAGGTAACTGAATCATGGAATTGGGTTAGTGCGTTTTTCTCTCTTATAGTGCATGAACTTTCCATGTTCCTAAGACCATGATTTGAACTGTATGTTTGATCCCATTATCTCACTGCTTCTTAACGGCTTTGATTGTATAATTATTTTTTCTCTCACCATCATCCTCACTATCACATTTTTTTCCCTATGGAATATTTTTCATTCATGTAGAAGCATATGTAATAGTGCCATCATAAAACAACAACAAAACTTTTTTTTTTTTTTTTTTTTTGAGACGGAGTTTCACTCATGTTACCCAGGCCAGAGTGCAATGGCGCGATCTCGGCTCACCACAACCTCCGCCTCCTGGGTTCAGGCAATTCTCCTGCCTCAGCCTCCTGAGTAGCCATTACAGGCACGCACCACCATGCCCAGCTAATTTGGGAGGCCGAGGCGGGTGGATTACGAGGTCAAGAGATCGAGACCATCCTGGTCAACATGGTGAAACCCCGTCTCTACTAAAAATACAAAACTTTTTCTTGACCTCATCTCCCTCCAGATACATCCATCTGCTCCTTTTTACAGCAAATTTCTCAGAATAATGATTTTACTCTCTTATGTATTTCTCCTGCCAGTCTCTTTTGGATCCAGTTAATTTTTATTTTCCTACCATTCCACTAAAAAGACTCTGTTAAGGTCCCTGATGACTTCCAAATTGACAAATTCAAAAGGTAATCCACAGTCTACATCTTATTGAAACTCATAGCCAGGACACAATTAATCCCTTCCTTCTCCGTGAAGCACTTTCTTCCCTTAGTTTTGGTGACATCATCCACACTCTTGGGCTCAAGTGATCCTTCTGCCTTGGCTTCCCAAAGTGCTAGGATTA